CTAGCTAAACAGTTCTACAATGTTTAACTGCATTTCAGGCTGAAATGGTATGGCGAGCACCAGCATGTGAAAAATAGACTGGCCCTGAGCCTTAAAATTGCTGCCAACTCCAGAGGAAATCTTGCATCAAATAACCTTAGCTTTGATTTCCTGAATAGTGAGGCATGGGCCCATAAAATTTTTGTGAAAAAAAGAGTTCTGAGAATATTATCAAGACACGAGTAGCCCCAGAGCCAAAAAAGAAAAAAAAAAAAAAAGAAAAAAAACCACTATTCCCTGGAAATGCTAAGAAGCGCTATTTTATTCAGGATAGTATCATCACTATGCCTCCTTGGCCTGATCTCTCCTCTCCTCCTGTGTGGAGTTATCAATTTTAGAAGCAAATCCTGTAGTATTTTTGCCAGAGATGAACAGTCAGGAGCTCTTACTCTGAGTACTGCTGACAAGAATTTGGCAGTAACACTCACATATACCTGAAAAGTCCTTGTGAAAAATGCAGTGAGTTACAATTCTAATGACTTTGTGGAAGGACACAAGCTACTGTTCCATCGAGGTTACAGGARAAGATAAGAATAAAGGAAAATAACAATTTCCGGAGAAAGGACTCCATACGCTCACCCTCCAGTATCACCTTGGAAATCTGGCCTGAAAATACAATGCTTCATCTACAGTCAGAGAGATTAGGAGACCATATGGTGAGTTTCACCTCAAACCTTTGGATGCCATCCCTGGTTCACCGGTTCTAGAACTGATTTATGGAGGGGAACATGCACTGTTTTGCCCCAGAAAGCTTGGTTCTCAGTTGAGGGGAACTGGATACAAAGGATTTTTGGCATTGGGTGGTCATCTTATTTTAGAAGGGCTTTTCTTTCAGTGGCTGCTTACTTGCTCATTTTATAAAGATCAGCATCTCTATTCTGAACAGTTTAGGTGCCATTACAGCAAAGGTGTTAGCACCTTGCAAAAGTCTACAGACAGTGCTTGTGTTAATACCCTCCTGTACACAGACATGGGACTCCAATTATATAGCAAAGTGCCTAGGAGAGACTACATAGGATGTTATTTACTTGAAGGAAAGAATATTACAAATAACTTCCTGATGTATAAGAAGATGCACTTGAAATACCACACTTGGCCTTTTGAGAAAGCCAACCTTAATTGCAGAGATATTGAAGAACAAAAACTTCAGTAGGAGGAGAAAAAGAAAACATACAAATTGAAATTATGAAGAAAGAGAGAGACAGCAGTTCTTTCCCAGAAGGGATGGCAATATATAACAAGAATGAGTCATTCTGATGCAGCTCTGTGATTCAGACAACTCAAAAAACACTCTGGCATGACAGACCACCAGCATTTTTTGCCCTTTGTGAATCCATGCAAAGGCAAAAGGATTCTCCAGATTTTAAGCGGCACATAATTTTAATGATTTTCTGACAAAGTATATTCCCCTGGCCTCAAATTTGTTAAACTGACTGCAAATGTCCTTTTAGCCAACAATTACCCAACATAGTAATCTGATTTGTTTCAGGCCACCTTTTATTAGTAAAGCCACATATATTTGCAAATGAACTCTAATCACCTTCCACAATTAAGGCAAATATCCTGAAACCAAATCTGAAATCTAGGTAATAAACTAAGAACCATTTTGTCTTTAATCATCATTCATTCATTATGTTGAACAAGTTAAAATTTTCCTCTGAAATGCAAGATTTAAACCAACTGCTCTCKACATTGAATAGGTTGAGGACTGCATGATTATTTCCCATACTTGCATGCTCATGGTACTGTCAAAATGCCATGTAATTTATTTTGAGGGAGAACATAAATTACAATTAGATATGGATTAATCCATTATTATTTCCCAATATACTTTTATTGACAACTGCTACAAATAGCCTTTGAACAGAGTGGCTGAATAACAGTGCAATAGAGTTCAGGTTTGCACCAAGTTATTTAAAAATACAGCAATTACTCATCGTGTGCATCTCTCACCCTTTCTCTAGTCATAGCTCTATGAGAATGTACCTTAAATACAAAAGGAGAAAGGAGAAATAATCTCTTAAAATAATAAAAATAAAGTAGAATTTGGCAACCAGGAGGCACAGTTAGAAAGTCTAGAGGAACAACCTTTCATCTTACCAGCCACAGATAACCTAGAAAGGAAGTGGAAATTAATAAATACCCAGTGACCTAATTGTATGGTCCAAAAGATTGTGTGTGTGTGTGTGTGTGTGTGTATGTGTGTGTGTGTGTGTGTGTGTGAATAAAAGTCACATTCTGATCTTATGAATGTCAAAAGTTTTGGTAATAACTTGGCATAGAATTTGGCCAGTGGAAAGTAGGAGACTGGGAATGGCAGCAACAGATTTCCTAATACTTAATGGAGTCTAGTGATTAATAACTGTGCAAATGAAAAAATGAATGAAAAGTAATGAGAATGACTTTTGTCATGAGACCATCACAGGCATGTCAGCACAAAAAAACTTGTGAGGTTTGAAAAATCTTTCAGCAACATTTGAGAACTGTAAGAGAACAGAGCATTCTCCAGCTCTCTTGAAGCCTGCTCAGAACCTGTCAGTTATCCCRAACTCCTCCTCTGTTAGGCCCAGAGAAGTAAAGAGGTCAGCAGAGGCAGTCGGGAAGGACAGGRAAATGACTCATACTAGTTTTCTGTCAATGATCGCGTCAATCCTTCACTATGTTGAATTATAAACATACAATAAACATTATCAAGCGTTTTGAGGCAGGTTTTGAAAGAAAACAATTATTCTCATGTTTGTATTTTCCAGGACAGACAGATGGTCCTCAAAGAGGCTAGTAGTTTAAACAGATTTACACAGAACAGAATTATAAAKAATAAGAAAATTCATTTTCATGCAAGTTTCAGGCTCATAGAGGCCAGTGAGACTTCACAGCACTTTAACTACCTGTACTCTCCTCTCTCTTCAAGCTAAGGCTGATACTCCTTATAGAAAATGCCAACCAACATATTTGTTGTATTTGGCAAAGCTACAAACAACTGAAATTCCTGCAGAATTGTGAATCCTCATCAGGCATGGTATCTGCCATCCTTACCACGTAGCACTTAAATCAATATCGCTATTTAAGGGAAATCTTTTGCACTGACTTGTTAGATGAAACACATTGAAAGGTGTGTTACAATATCTAAGTTTAGCTACTGTTCTGCAGATTAAAAAAAATAGAATATAGTTTGTGTAAAATGCATTAAAAATTACAAAAGTTTCTCTCATGTATTTTTCAGAATCTAAGACAACCATAATCCACCGCTGAGCTGCTTATTCTATTAGTGTAAAAATATTTGCAAAAGCATACTGAATATTCAATGCAACAGTCCATAAATTAATACACACATATATAATTCCCCCATATTCATTAAACATTTCAAACATTGTAAAAGGGGATGGGCAATGGTTCTCATTCTTTAATCAAACACACATCAAACCTGTATGAGGTCAAGAGTCACAGGCATACCTCAAAATTTGGTGCACCAAGAGGAAAAAACCCTGTGAATGGCCTGCAAGCAAAAGTGACAGTGACTACACACGAGCCCCACTGCACCTGGTGGAAAATGATAAACAAGAAAGTCAGCTGCGTTCTCAGTATATGAAACTCATCACTACTTCATCATCGCTTACTGCCTGTCACAACCAGTGTTTTTGACTGCCCACCAGTCTCACGTGGTAGCAATCCAGAATTATCTGTGACACATCTGCACAGCAAGCAATTTTGGAAGAACTCTTCTGTTTTACGAGTGACCATCCGCTTCTACTCCACGTCCAAAAAAATAATCACATTGTTAAGTGCACAAAACTGCTTAATACAACATTGAAACATACATACATTAAAACTGCTTTAATACAACATTCTATCTGCTTCAGCTAAAATTTGTGTTTGACACAAAGTGCGTGCAATTGGAAACAATTTGTTAGGCTTTCTCTCTCCAGACCAACAAAGAGAATTCAAAATAAATAAATTAATGAAAACTTCATTTTTAAGCCCCTCTCCCTCTCTTTTTCCATAATTGCCCTAGCTGAAGAATATTGAATCTCAGATRTAATGATCTACACAGAATGAATAACCTAGATGTGGTTTGACTGAATTGACTGAAGTAAGGAAAAGCTGATAGAATTCCCCAAAGGCAAACCCCACAGCTCCTCTCCTCTCACAACAGAGCTTGAATACGGAGTCTCCTGTTCTTAAAAATCTGCAGAAATTTGATTAGACAATCTTGCAATTTTTAATCCTGCTAAACTAATGAGTGGGTTTTCCCTTTGTAATAGCAACAATAACAAACGATACACGCACACGCCCCAACCCTAAGATAGCAAATCAACTGTACTGTTGAAACACAACATAAATGCAATCACATCTTTCTTCAGCAATGCCTGAAACCTGGCACTTGGAATTGAAGGGGAATTTAAAATTCATATCGTGGATTCTTATGCAAATAACAATAACTTTAAACTTACCAAATCATCATTTGCAGATAGTGGTTTTGGAACACCAGGTAACATTTTGTAGTCCTTTAAGATCATGTTTCAAAAGGCTTCATAAAAAAAAAAWAWAWAAAAATAAWAACCCTGCAGCAGAAGATAAACATTGTATCAACACAGCAGCACAGACAGTTACCTTAAAGAGTGACTTTAATGTGCTARTTSAGACACCAGGGAGGTCTTGCCTTTAAAGCATGAGGCTTCATAGGGACAGTTTTCTTGAACTCTTAGGAAAAAGGTAAAGAAGGAAGTTTTCCCTCTGAAAACCCCTGTGCTGAAAAGTTTGATTCCTGCTTAGAATTGGTAAGCAAGTATGTACTAAAATCTTAATTCTGTAGTTCACTGTATTGCAAAGGGCTTGCTGAAAAAAAAGTAATTCCCTTCATAGGCAGTAGTAGGAGTAATGCTTAAATTGGGAGTTGAGGCAGGAGTGGGAAAGAGAGAAGACAGCAATTCAAATTAATTGAAATTAATATCCCGAATATTATGGTCCAAACTGACAAATTACTATACATTCATTTAAAGAATAATAACAATCAAAAAGGTACAGTAAAACAACAATAAAAATGCAGTAGACTTTCTCAAATTTTAAAGAGAGTGATAAATATGGAAGCAAGATGAAAACATTTACAACTTTTGAAGGATATCAGACTATGCTTTGCAAGAACTCTATTTCACCATATTAAATATTGCACTTAATACCAAAACAAGTTTTAACCTTTACAGTGCAGTTCTCTTCAGAATTTTCACTTTTCCAAATTAAGTATTTATCCCTTGCTGCAAATGATCTTCTGATTTATGTCTTGATTATTTTGAGGTTCCATTAGGAACTCAGGGAGAAGAGTTTGTATTGTTTGAATAGTTACATTCCATTTTAAATAGATGGAATGGCTCAAAATTTTTGCCTCTCTTGGCTAATGCAYGACATGCAAAATGATGAAAATTAAGACCTTGGAAACAGAGGAGCATAATCAATTCTAAGGGTATTCAGACAGGTACTGAAACACAGACACAAGCAGGAGCAAAGTGAGGTGCACACTCTTCACCCTAGGAACTTGTTAAAGTGTATATCYGTGTTCAAAGTATTTTTAGACATAGAGGTACCTTCCTTAAACAAGAAAAAAAACAAAACAAAAAAAAATCAAAGCTACGCACACATATGTACATATATGACTGTGTAGCTACTACTACTATTTTCTCTCATCGTTTTTACGCCTACCCAACTCACAAACTCATTTCTTTTTTTAGTCTAACTCCCTARTTCTGAGCAAATGTTATTTGAGAAACATCTTAACAAAAGCACCACACACCTAAATAGGTGATACRAGCTCATATAGAGATCTGGAAGTTACCTCTAAATCACCTGGTTTATATGCTGGTAACAAAGTTTATGAAACTCGAAACTCAAGCCGAGCTGCAATATCTGCTACCTGTAGTTGGCCAGGCAACCAAGTGACGGCACTTGGTAATTTCTGCAATCCCAGGATGTTCTCATAACAATCTATAGTTTAAGGAAACCAACTTAAGCTGCAGCAACTGTTAGTTAGTTAGTTAGTTAGTTAGTTAGTTAGTTAATTAAATAAATAAATAAATAAATAAATAAATAAATAAATAAATAAATAAATAAAATTAAAAAAAAAAAAAAGACGCCCCGCCCCGCGCGGCCGTAACGGTTCTAACGGTTCCAACGCACGTGCCGGGGCGGGGCCCTGGGGGGCGGGGCGCGCTCAGCGCCCGCACGTGGGGCTCGTGCCGAGGCACGTGGCCGCTGGCCCCGCTTGCGCCGCTGTGCGCATGCGCCACCCCCGCCCCTCTGCGGCGGGCGCCCGGCGGCGCGTGCGCGCACGGGGAGAGCGTCATGGCGGCTCCCTGCGGCCGCTTCCTGCACATGGACTGAGCGGGAGCCGGCGGCCGCCACCGGCGCCATGGCCGCCAGCGCCGCGCTGGCCCTCGAGCGCTCCCTGCTCAGGGGCTTCCCCAGCCCCGCCGAGGCCCTGGTGTGCAAGCAGGACGAGCTCGCGGCGGCAGGTGAGGCCCGGCCGGGCCGGGGCGGCGGGCAGCCAGGGCTGGTGCGGGGGGCGGCTGCAGGCGCCCTGTGCGGCGGCTCGCGGCGGGCCGCGGCTCTGCGCCCGGTGCCCGGGGACGCGGCCGGGCGGCTGCGCGGGGCCGTCACCTCCGGGCCCGTCCTGCGGGCGCGGGGGAAGGGAGGGAGCGGCGCGAGCTTCCCAGTGTTAATTCCTAGCTCAGCTTCCCAGTGTTAATTCGCATTTAGCCTTAAACACTGCATTGCCCCCGAGTCCTGCATCCTAGGTGTCTCTTTTAATCGCTTCAGTGAGGATTGGGTGTGTTTTGTGCTAGCGCTGTATTGACATCGGCTTTGGACGAGGCTGATGTTGCAGAAACATATATCTGGTAACGAGAGAAAGTAATGAGGCTTGTGGTGACTGTTAGTTATTACTGAAATGAACCCTAATTAGCCTGAGATGAAAGTGAAAGTCTGTGGCCTTTAATTTGTATGGTATCTTTTGGAAAGGCCAGTGCGGAATCCAGAGCGGAATATATGGGATTATAGACAGTCACGCTGCAGTGGGATTGGAAAAACAACCATCAGCGCCCTCCCTGCCGATAACCATTCCAGTCCAATGCAGCCCTGCCTCTCTGAGCAAATATAACCCCATAAAAGTTGCCATTTGGTGAAAGACTGTCTCCCCGCAGAGCAGCTGAGGGCAGTTGCTCATCTCTGCTCTGTGGGGAGGACAGTGTCGGCAGGGTGTCAGGAGTGTGACGTTCCTTTTGTATCCGCTTAAYGTCTTGCATTCACTTAGCACAAACAACCTCTCAAGTTATTTGTCTGGCGTTTGCCATAAAGAGCAAAAACTGTGGTAAATAGCCTGGTGCAGGGAGATGAGAATGAATGTCTTTCTATCATCTATTCCTACCAAGTCATCCATCTCTGCTGCTGAAGCTGATTTTTAGCTTGGGCTTCAGATTGCCCAAGTTTTCAGATTTTGTTGTTGTTGTTGTTGTTGTTGTTTTCAGATTGCCAAGATTGTCAAGACTACTTCTTTTGAGCTAAAAGAGTTGGGGTTAGTATTGGCTTGCTTGCACAGCTGCAGCTTGTGCGGATGTTCCCTTGTGCTGGTGTTAATTTGGTGGCCTGGGTGCCAGTGTTGGTGCAGCAGTGATGGCATGTGAGCTGTGCTCCACCTGGAGTCACAGATTTGACTGCAGTCCAAGCAGAGGGACAAATTTGGTAGCCGTTTAACTCAAGAATATGAGGTTTTAACACTTGAGAGTTGATCTAACAGGCACCCTCTTGGTTGGTTGCATGTTGGGGGGAGTAGGGAGGAAGGAAAATGCCATTTGTGAACAAAGATTTAGCCTAGTGAATATTTCGGTTGTTTTGAAACACCTTAGTAAATATATGGTGTTTCATGAAATCAGTTTGTCTTGCAAGAAACAAGTAGAGAAAATGGATTTGTAGCAGTGTGGTAGTTACTGTTAAGAATCCTGCTTCTTGTACAGACTTATTTAGAAAGGAAATTTATCTTGAGGATTTTTTTTAATACAGCCACAGCAATATGACTATTCYCAGCAATTAAAGGAAGTGCAGTCCCTTGGGAATTTATTCTCTGAACTTTTACATCTATTGAACTGTTTTTGATTGGAGTCTTGATTAACTTTAGTGTATTTATTTGAAAGGCCATCTACATATTTCCCTTAATTCCTGTGTGTTCATACAGCAGTTTGTGTTTAACTATAACTATAACATTAATACAAGCTCCGTAAAATTCCTTTTGAATAAGGTGACTCTCATGATTGCTGTTATTTAGATTAAATAGATCTGCACTTATTGCAAGGTAAATTAAAATTCTTTTTTTCCTCAAAGAGATGTGTATACTGTGAATAGTTCTTCTAGCATGATTTTTTTTCTAAGTTGACGATTTATTTCTTTGTTTTACAGAAAGTGGACTGCTGTTGAAATTAATTTTCGATGGGAAATATGAGGCAATGTTTTCAAATTCAGCCGTCCGGGATATTTTCAATGCACCTTCTGTGGCAGAGGAGAACATTGACAACTACTTGGAGGAACAGATCCTCGCATACCTGGACTGTCCTGCAGAGGCTGARCACATGGAAAGGTGGAAATAATTGGTTATTATATGGAAGGTTCAATAGCGACTATTTTTTCTTTTTTTYTCTTTCTGAAGAAATAAAATTTAAAAATAGTTTTGCTATAATATGTAAGTTTTTTCCCTCACTATTTCCTGCTGGAGCATCTGTTTTTTATTGGGTCCTTCACTAAACAGTATTTTGATATGAAGGCTTGCTGAAAAGGTCAGCTTCATTTGCGGTGGTTACCCYGAAGGTGCTGCTATAAGGAAGCCATCTCGCCATGCACCTTTATCTCTGAAGCACTGTATTGCATACACGTGAATAGGTGAAATACCATTTAATATCCCTGTCAAAGTAATGTCTATCTGTATTTTTCAGGTTGATCCATAATGGATTGTTAGTGAGATTATTAATATCACCATAAAATGAGTAAGATATTTCTAATGGATAGTATCCATGGATTTATTAATTTTGTATTTAAAACTTACTTTAAAGGTAGACTCCCTTTGGCTTCCTTTAGCAGTAGAAGTAGTAGAAAATGCATGTATGTGTATATATATGTAATTTAAATAATAAAACTTAAATAGTTTTTATTTGTGTGTGTGTGTGTATATATATAGCTTATTAAAAGATCTAGGTGGGAAGAAGTTTGTTTCCCTCAAAAGGGAGGAGGGGGGACAAAAGATATGAGAAGATAAATATTAAAGGTAAGAAGAAACTAAGTATTGAGTATAAGTGTGGCTGGATACAAATACATGTGTGTTGATGTGACAGGCATAAAAACAAGAAGTTTTGCTAAAATACCAGAATGAAACAAGTCTAAAGCATTTAGCTGAGATTTTTCTGAAGCCGTGGATCGTAGTGGGACAAAAGATGTGCTCTATTATGTAGTTCCTAATCTCTCTGTCATTGTTTGTAAATCAGGCCTGATTCTTTTAAGAAGTTTAGAGGGAGACCCTGAGCATTAATGAACACAATACAGTATGATGTGCTCTTGTTTCTGAAATGGAGTGTCCGGAGGTTGTTCCCATGGATTTGTCTCTAACTTCTTTTGGAGTTTTTTGCTTGTTTTTGTTTTGCTGCTGTTGTGTATGGCTGGAGCTTATATGGTGGTGTAATTTGGAGAAAAATGTCAGTATTGGTAACTTCTCTCTTGAAATGGTTTATTCTGAATTATGCAGCAATCAAAGGTCTGTCAGAGCTTGAAACAAACTGAAAGCTATTGACACAATCCTAGTCTTAATTATTGATTAATGCATGTGTTGCTGCATGTGAATGAAATAGCTTTTATGAACTGTTTAGCTTCTTTAAAGTCATATGTATATCATATGTCACCATGACAAGATATTATAAAGTATCTTTATATTCCTGCTATGTTTTTTTGGCCTGTATCTCCTTAACAGGACTGTATTGCCTCTGTTGTAGTGTGCAGAAAGCAGCAGACTKTTTCTTAGGGCTTTGGTCTTACAGTTCTTTCTTTCCTGTGCAAACGTAGGCAGCATTAGGAGCCCTCTGCCCAAAGGTATGAAAGGAGAACCACAACACTGAACCTTTCAGAAGCAATTGCGTGTTTGTTTTTTCCCCCAAGATTACATGCTATAGTATTATTTGAAATTAAAGGTTTGTTTTCTTTCRAAATGTAAAAGTGTCTTCCAGAAATATTTTCTTTTCAGTAGTCAAGTAATATATTTTTTATCAGGTTCTGTTATTATGACATAACTTGAATGATACTAGCACTGGAAGATAAGTTGTTTATGTCTTTCTCTTCATAGAAAGTCTTCTAAAAGAAGACAGATCACCTTGTGCTTTAGGTGGATGTGGCTTACAGCACTTACCTATAGCATGTACTGCTTTGCCTCCAATGACTTTCTGAGTTAAAATAGGTATTTTTCCAAGCTTCAAGCCCTGTGCCTTGTGTGAGTGCTTTATGGAAGAAATTAATGCAACTTTTTCATATTGTTATGTTGATCTTTGACTCCTTATGGTGAGAATGCCTGACACCCTTCAATGATCCTAAGAAAGTGTAATAAATTCTAGCTTAGAAAACTCAGTAATATGATGATCTGTGACTTTGAGTATGCAGGTCCTACTTCAAAACAGCATTTTTTCCTGAGATTAAAGTCACAATTCTTAGTGGCATCTGAATTCAATCAGAAGTGAAAAGTTGGGTAGTGTTAACCTTATTCTTTTAGCACAATCTAAAATAGTACAAAGCACAGCCTTTATAGCATTAAAATCTCCTAAGGAGTTCTTTYACTGATGTTAAAAGAGTTAATAAGATAATGAAGTTAAAAGATTATAACCATTTAAATAATGAAACTTATACTCAGTTTCAGAAAGAAAARTAATTCTCAGAATTTCATTATTTCTAAAAACTTTTTACGTTAAAAAGCATGATTAAGTGAGAACTGCTGTAAGTGTGTCTGAGGTTGTACCTAACTTTTTAAAGGTTAGTGTAGTTTTATTTTAGGTGAAAACAAATCATGTTAAAATAGAATTAAACACAATAATGTGACATACAGTGATACCATCTTCTTTCTCCGACAATGCGGAGGGGGTATAAAAGTGGGTTGTAGGCAAATATAATRCTGCAGTAGGCAAATATGGGATAATCTGCCTTCTATACTGATCTGATAATTATATGTTTCAGAATTTAAGCCTGCATCTAGTTACCTCTGTTTCCAAAATGTTGTCACTACCGTTCTGCATAACCAAGAATATTTCCAACTCTTCGTTTCACATGAGGCTCTGCATTCTTTAGTGCTAGGACTAGATTCATTATACTGGGAGTCTGATYTTATTTATTTTAAGATTGGGGGATTTTGAATTAACCAGGTTTTGTAGTCTTCATAAAAAATTTCCTCTGTTAATTGCTTTTCTTATCTACATTGCAGGCAGAGGCTGGTGTTCCTGCTTGGTGTGGGCAGTCTGCAACTCTTTGTCCAAAGCAACTGGACGGGGCCTCCTGTTCGGCTACAGCCTGAGGACTTTCTKCCATCTGCACTGTTGCAGCAATTCTGTGAGGTACACTTGAATTTTAGTATGCTGTCTTTTTATAGCCACTGCTATTCTATTCATGGGAAAAAGTCATTTATCCAGAAAAGATTCCTCTATGAGGCAGGGTGGGAATGAATTGCYGTAGATGATGAGTCCTGTTGGCTGCTAGTGGAAGTATCAGCTATATCAGCATTTTATGCACTTTCCTAAATGCAATTACTGTGTGTGTTTTTCAATACTTAAGAGGTTTCCTAGTGGAAGTGTTGAGTTTGGATGGGGAAGCTGTTTTTTCCATGGCAGCTTAAAGRGCATTTGCAGTCAGTCAACTTTTATTCTGCGGTATATCCATAGGTGGATCAAAAAAAGAATATTTTAGGTGGCTTAGCGTGTTTCCCTCTCTGGAGAAGAGGTAAGAGCCATGTGTCTTGCAAATAGCAGAATGCCTAGTAGCTGTAAGAGTACATTTGGTTGCTCAGTATTCTGTCAGGTTCATGGATGATGCCAAGTGAATGGCACTGTTATTAGTATGAAAGCACTAAGACAAATAGTATTTCTGGAAGAATAGGGGAATGTAAGAGTTGAAACTGAGGGGCATCATTTTTATCTATTGCAAGATACAACATCATAACTTATGAGGTATGTGACAGTTTTTCATGGCAGTTCCATGCTTCAAGCCATGTCTGATACTGTGTCTGTACTTTATTACAGCTCCTGTCTTATTTTTTTTTAGCTGGAACTAATGCTATAGTAACTTATTTACTACTGCAATATATTGAATGGGGGCTAGAGGACAACTCCAATTACTCTTTCTTCTGTACTTAAGTGTGAATTTGCCAAAATGTAATTGGTTTTGAAGAGAGATTCTTTTGTCCCACTTCCAAAAACATTGTTGATTTGGGATATAATCAAATATGAGTTGGATGGGCTGTTTAGAAATACAATTTTCCAATGGTTAAAAGCTAGCCCGAAAAATTCCACGCTCTCTCTCTTACCTTTTTCCTTAGTTGAGACAGCCTTCTAAATACTGCTATCTCATATTACTTTCTGGGCAGAGTTTTTCCTTTTTTCCTTTTAGAAGGTGTGAGTCATTTCACTTGTCATCATTTTCAAAAAAGGCTACCTTTTTTAACTGACATTTAGTAAGATGGAACTAGTCTGCTTATGCACTTGTACGTTACTTTGTTAGATGTTATTCAATAGGAGTTTTTTTGATAGCTGAAAACAGTGACTCCTTACTGCTGATGCAGAATAATAACTGAGAAAATTGTTGTATATATAGACTATGTGAATTGGAAGTAGTCATAAAGATAATGGATTGCTACATTTTCTGCTAATGCTATATATACACAACTTGCTTTGCATTTAGAATTTCATTATGAAATGGGTATGGACCATGAGCAATGTACATGCTGTAAACTGTGGAATGAGGGGGAATTTGACAAGTACCTCATAGGTTTCATGCAAAACTGTTGTATCACTGACATTTTTACAGRAATGCCATAACTCATTAAGTCCTGCCCTAGTTTCATCCTCAAGTTTATATTTTGAAATAACTTTTAATTCAYGTGCAATATCTGTGCTATTTCTTTTAAGCAGATGTTTATCAGTTTGTTATCTCTTAAAGCTGGCATGATATGATGGGCTGCTTTTTCTTAGTTTTTGAYATTGGAAGTTCAAATCTAGTCTCCTAATGACTTGATGAGAACTCTGGAAGCCACGTGTACTAAATCCTCAAGAATGAGGAATGAATTAGCAGGAGTTTTTAGGTATGCTGTTTCTGAAGGGGAAATATTTTCAGGTTATCTTTATAAAAGAGGAAGACAAATTCTTTTCTTCCATTCTTCTGTCTGTGTTTACTGAAAAATCCTAATGTTCTGCRTTAGTGTTAATATACAAGGTGGGTCTTGGCACTGAAGCTGAAACCAAAGGTGATAGTCACAGAGCTGCTATAATGGACAGGATTTCTATACTTGGGAAGCTCTATGTTCATAACTAACATCAAGCATCCTCCTTATTGTACATTTTAATGGAATAATGAGATGATAATTGCCTATTGAGTGAGAGAATACACGTGTCCTTTAGATTCTCTTGTGGCTGTGGGTGTACTGAATTAATGGATATTTGCTCATAGAGAGATGGTATTCCAAAAAAATTGGCAAGAGAAGGTAAACGGGCCTGAGCATACTTCTTTGTACTTCATCAGACTTCTATATTTCTGTAAAATACAGCAGTTTATGCATTCAGCCAACAGAAGTTTGGTATTGTAAATATTACTGTCATCTTGTAAGTGATTTTTTTTATTTTTTCCCCAAGCATATTAAACAGTTATGTGATGAAATGTGCTATACAGTTCTCATATRTACTATGCAGTTCTCATGTCTTAAACATTTTAATTCAAAAGCTTTCACATGTTTTGGATTATCTTTATGTATATTCTTTTCTTTCCAAAGGTTATTAGTATAAACACTCTGTAAAAATGAACATTTAAAAATTTGATCATTTTTATACTTCCCATAATCTCTTTTCTCTATTACATGCCCAGACTTTAAGAAAATTTGTGTTGGAAATACAATGACAACACACTCTTTTTTAATCGACTTTCCATTTTTCAGGTTTTCAAACTAAAATGGACTTCTTCCCATGTCAAGGTTAAACTCTAACTTCATGAAGCATGCTTCTCTTAACCTGTTGCAAATAATAGTATTAACCTTCAGCCTTTAGAGCCTGATATCRTGTTCATTTCAAGAATATTTTCAAAAGTGTTAATTTCAAAGCTCTTTATTGGTTATGTCTTAACTTTATGACTTTCCAGGCTGTATAACATCTGCCACTTCTATCCTTYCCATAGTTTCAACTCTGGGCCTGAGGTAGAAGTTTATTTCTGCTCCCAGACAACTGAATGCATCATTAATTTTACTCCCTTATGTGGATGCATTAAGACTGCATGAGACTATAATTAATTTGAGTGAACAAACAAGTCATGAAATAGTCTGTTTTAGATGAGTTGCTCGTAGGGGCCTCTTGGATGTCTTCCATTAACAATATTCATGAGTATGTGTACATTATTTCCAATCCCCCAGATTGATTCCAGYCTTATCTTTAGGTTATGACTACATTCATGTATTCCATTAAGGTTTAAATGCTCTGCAGAACTGAATATGCCTTTGGCTTTATGAGGCCATGCACAGAAATAATCCTCTAACTTCTTAACAGAAAAGCAGTTACATTTTGGTTAACTGTCTTTTTTTCCTTTTTTTAATAACACCAGAATTTACTGTACGTAGTCTGACTAATACTGCCCTGAGCATTTGGTAAATGGCTTGTGTTAAAGCAAGAATTGAAAGTGCTGAATTTACATATAGTGTCAGTGTCACCTTTGAACTTGCTGGAATTACTACAGATGTAGTAAGCTAGATATAATAATAGGCTTGTGTATTAAGTTACTGTTACTATCTCCCATCACCTAAGGGAATAAATGATACAGAACTGTTAAAGTTGAGGCCTGCAAGGGCTGCCAAGGACTCTAAAAATGTTGTGAAGACTGAGCTGCTATAATTGCTGAGGGCAATTATAGATTTTAGCATCTGATGTCATATTGTTCATGGACAAAGATGCTGCTCTTCATTTTAAAATAAATACATCATACTTGTTTTATTAGGTTTTATTTGGCTAGAAGCTCCATCTGGAAGATGATTCCAATTTGTACATTGATAATCCACATAAATACCTCCTATCATTTCTCAGAATACATCAGCAACTCCTGCTGGTCGTCTTCAACTGTCTAGTTGATTCCAAATAATGAATTTTAGAAATCATTTGAATAATTCCTTTTTCATTTAATTGCTACTTTTATGTACAGTTTTGTTCTTTTGCTGACTGTTGTGTTTCAAGCGCTACTGTCTCAAATCCAACATGATCCTATGGCCTTTCTAGCTCAAACCTCTGGAAATGCCTTCTTGTCTTTTCCCAGACCCACAGGTTTGGCCTTTCCTTAGCGTGAACTAGCCAGAAAGAAGAAAGAGTTGAGTCTTAGACTGACTCTTACGCACTTTACATACTAGTGACCAGTACAATGAAGGATTTGAAGGTTCTTCCGATTTCTCCTTCTGGCGTGTGTAAGGATTGATGAATGAGCCTAAATGTGCAGGGAGGTTCTCGTAAGCCCGGCCAATCTGTTAGTTCTAGATTCCCTTGCTTGTATGAGAGAGGACATTCTTAGTAGGGCCACGTGAAAACTACTCCCTTGCAAACAGAGTAGGGAACATGACAAGTGCATTCATAGCTAGACACCTCCATGTGTTGCACTCTTGGTGGTGGGGACTGTATAGACAATCAAGATGAGTTAGCACATAGAGCGTGTTTAAAAAAATAAACTTGGCTCTACATCCCACAGACACACTGCTGGTTTGGATCATAAAACTGGGGATCATAAAACTCTTMTATAGTCTCAATATTTCCTTTTGCTGAAAGTTAGAGAAGCAAACAAAGCCTTTTTTTAATCTCAAAAATAAGTCTAGAGGGAACACTCTAGAGCAAAGGACCAAATCTCATTGATGGTAACATAAAAACATTTTGTGTCTTGTTTTATTTGTGTTATGTCCTCTGCCCAAATCCAGAGTTCTTTTCACTGTTGTTTTAAACTTCCTCTCAATATTTCTTCCTGATTCAATTTTTGTATGTTTAAATCTTTTCTAAGATGTATTTGGAGGAGATAGGAAAGAGTATATCAATTTTCTATGATCATTCTGTATTTTATAGGTGAGAGCTTAGCTATATTAGTCTAGGATACTAAAGTCTTCCATTCTTTCTCTATTYCCTAACCCAAGTCATTTAATCAAAATATTTCTCCATCTGTATGTCTTCCTACTTCTTTCCAAGATACAGGAATGAACTCCTTAGCAACTGCCGAAAGAACTAAAATTTTTAAATGCCAAGAAGGCAAGCTCAGATTTTTCATTTTACTCTTGGCYAATGTTTTAGAATTTTCTGGAACTGAATCCTGACTCTTCAACCTTTGAAGTCTTAAAAGCTTAAATATCTTCCTCATGTAGTTGTTGTCTCATCTTAAAGGCTGTGTTAGGACAGTAGATTGCGCACTGATAATGTAGTCTCATGGCAAAAGCTAGATGAATTGGTGCTAATTCAGGCTTTCTCAGCTTCAAGACTTTTGTTTGCTTCCTTGTATGGTATTTTCTCCATGGAGAAGAAAATGGATTTATTAAAATAGAAGTTTTTATGGCTTTGAGACTTGTTTGCTTCTTGTCAGGTCTGATACATGTCATCATCTCTCCCTCCTAGGTTGCGTTCCTTGTAACATTACTGTAGTTGGACTGGGCTGTTCAGTGAATGGCCTTGATGTGTAAATTTGTGACTAATTGGTTGTTACAGCTCTTAAGTGATTGTAGATTGCTGTGGCATATCAAGACAGTTTTATAAAATGGTTCTATAACGAGGCTTGTGGCTCTTTGCTACAAACTTTCCAACCGAGTCTTCCCTTCGCATTTTATTGTGTGACCTCACTTGACTGTCGGGAGAATTTAAAAAAAAAAAAAAAAAAAAAAGTGGAGAGGAAACAAATGTAAGTTAAACTGAAAATTATAAGAAGTGGCATTTGTGTGTAGGCATGTGTGTTCAAAATGAATCTCTACTAGTGCTGAGCCATGACTTTTCCTCTCCAAATCAGAGCAGACTGCAGTGTTATGAGCACTGGGTCGGGGGGAGCGGAACTGTGTTCCAAGTCAAAAATCATTGTCTACAAAGCTGAATTATTTTAAACATTAATAAATAGCAAATGAGTAACAAATGAAAGCAAATCAGAAAAAGTCTGCAGATTACTGTAAAGAGGAAGTGATCACTCTGAAATGAGTAGAGGGGGGAGTAATATGACTTAACAGCTGTGGTCTTTGATGTGATCTTTTGGTACTAGATCTTGAAAAGAGTTTCAGTTCAATTAGGAATTACATTATCAGTTGAGTTTTGAATGTGTTCAAATAAGTTCTGTCCTGGTAGACTGGGCTGGATAAGGCAGAGATACCTTCAATGCAAGCTCGTACTTAACCATCTCTTTTTACCTCTTGCTTTCCCTTCCTATCTCCTGCCCTTTCATACTAGCTGGAAACAAAATACTTTTTTTCTTTTAGTTTGCAAATGAAACCTGCCATATGAGAACTTGGAAAAAGCGATAAGCTGACATTTGCCTRAATCTGAAGATAAACTGTTTGAGTGCTTTCAGTGCATTAGAAGTTAGACAAGAAAGGGTGTCTGTCATCTGACAGTCACCAGTGAGAGACAGGTTCCCTGGGGAGCTGCCCTGGGCCCAGTAGGTAAGAGTCCTTCCTACAGGCCAGTATTCCCAGTGGAGAGGCCTGTACTTATTGGACAAAGAGAAGAATGGCTCTGATATTGGTGCTGAATTGATGCCACTCCAACAGAGAGCTCCTTCTGGAGGAAGAGAAAGATAACATGTCCTGACCTCACTGCATGAATATGTCATGTGTCTGAGCACTGTAGGGCTGTACACAAAGTTATTTTTGTGATGGTAAGTTGAATGGCATGGATTTATAAGAAGCTTTTTTGCCTTAAATGGTGGCAGTGGTGGTAGTAATGGAATGGATTTAGTGGGAATAAAATTGACTGGATATATGCGTTTCAGGTGACAGGGACTTTTGGATCACATTGGCCAGCTAGAGAGGAAGTAAAATTTAGTATAATTTGGTAAAGGACTGGGACTCTGAGACAGTCACTTTCTTTGTTTTTGGAGCAGACTTCTTCCTTAAATCAATAGTTGCCTYTTTTTTCCTATTTCTGTATTACGTGATTTATTTAATAACTGTTTCCTTGAACTTGTGTGTTAATTTTTTTTTCTTCCTCCAGCCAAAAATGCTTCATGCAGCTATTCTGAAGACACTGCTTCTGGATGGTGAATCAGTCTATACACTGACTTCTCATCCTGTCTTGCTGCTTATAGCCAGGATAATCCTTGTGAAATCRAGACACAAGCTTGCATCTTTTCAGGTAAGAAATATGTAACTAACCATTATGGTTGCCGAGGACTCACTGGTTCTGTTATTTATCTTTTATTTSCTCATTTTGTTTTCTCCTCTCCATACTCATTGAGCCAGAATACCTCCTCTTCCATTTCTTTCCCCAGCTCTGACATTCCTTCCTCTAAGGAGCAGTTATAGGCAGTGATTACAATTAAAGATGAGTGTCCTTTTCTTAAGGATGAGGTATTTTCTCAACTTTTTCTATTAAAAGAGAAGATGCCTTCCTTGTGTGCAAAAATCAGATGATTAAAAAGGAAGCAACTTTTAAAAAGATGCTCCATTTGTGATATTATATATAAAAAACATAAATGCCTCAATGTAATGCAGCAGATGTGTTAACCCTTTTTCACAAGCTTTGGGATASCTGTAAACATTGCTGTATGAATTCTAAGCACAAATACTAGATACCAACAAAGTCCTTTCTGCTCATTTTAGTCATATCTATCCCTCCTGTAGGCGCTCACGTAGACTGCCTGAATTCTGTGCTCTGTTCCCTCATGGATAAGAGGGAGCTAGGAGTATTTTGAGATGACTTTTGATTTTTACCTCCTTTATAGTTTATCAGAGAACTATTTGGTAGAGGGATGGTTCAGAACTGGGGGACTCTTAATAGCAGCAGCTTCTCTTTATTGCATTCCAKTTAAATGGACTTTGGCTGGAGATCAAATGCCACATGGTCCCTCTTTATGCCTGACTGAAAACATCCATTCCCAGCTGAGTCTTTGTATGGGGGCTGAATTAAACTGTGTGGGAGATGTTGGCTACACTGCATGTCTGGAAGCCAAGCTCTTCCATCCTTTTCCCTGTTATTCACAGATGAATGCTATTGAATTCCAGCAATTGGGTCAGTGAGGGAGGTGAAAAATGTACCTAGTATAGAGAAGTCCCTTGCTACCTCCCCTCAAACTGACATTTTGGGGGCCACCTTCTGCCCAATGCAGCTTCGGTTGCTTGTGGCTATATCAAGTTTTGAGAGCAGATAAGACAGCAACTGATAAAACCTACTTTCGTCAGCAGGTCAATGGAATGATAAGAGCTTGCCACTCTTCCTCATTTCAACTTGACTCAAAGGAAAGTCTCAAATGCCTTAGCTCTTTAGTTAAGATCAGTATAAATCAATTTAGAATAGGATAAAATAGTCTGATATCTGTTATCTAAAGCATTAATAAAACCTTGTTTCATTCACAAATGCTGTTGTAAATGGAGGATTAAATAATTGCAAGTTGTTCCAAAGAAAATTGCTTAGCTTGGTTCTCCAAAAACTTAACACTGATAATGAAGCATCATGCAGAGCTCAAGTGATTTACTTTATAAATAAGTTCTCTTAGAACTCATTATATAGATTTAGAAATGTGAAAGAACTTAAAAATATTCTCTCTGATTCTAAGACTTTTGAGTGGCAAGCTTCAGGCCCCAGGAAATTGTATTATTGAGACAGATACCTTCATGGGAAACAAATCCTTCATTATATAACACYGAAGTCTTTTGAAACTTCTTACTTCACTTGCTTTAGATTTCTACTTAAGTGATGAAATATTGTGATTTAACCTTTTTCATGAAGTCTCTTGTTTATGTGCCTTTGCTCTGTTCAGCTTGATATCAAAAGTCATCTTTCATTGCTTTCTGAAATAGATATTATTATTCCTTTTGATAGCTCCTTTCTAGGGACATTACAGTCAGCCACATCTGATTGGTCTTGATGTTTTTGCTTGCATGCTGTTCTGTCCTTTGGTCTGAGTGCAGTAAACATAACCTGTATAAAGTTCAGAAGATAGCTGGGTCTCAGCAGTGCTCCGGCATTGCTTTCACAGCAAATGATTAGAATCCTAATCCTAACAGAAGTAACCAATTTAGTAAACAGTAGAAYCTTTGCAGGAGTGTGATCTACATTCACAGATGAGAATCTTGAGTTATTTTATCAAAAGAATATTATGTTATCAACTAGTTTTGCCACTTATGTGCATGTGGTGCAGCTAAAGAAGGGTAAGGGATGCCGGGGGTTTATCTTCTATGAACACAGCTCTTTAAGATCAGATTTTGGAGCTGTGCCTTCTGCTGTAGCATGACTACTTAGCCCAGGAGTGTATTAATTTGCCTTCCGCACATGGACGTTAATGCTTTCTGCTATGATTGTAAGATGCTCTCCTAAGGTTTTTAAAAGCTCACAAAGTTTCATTCAKTTTTTTTCAAATGCAACCATGTTTCTTTTGAAGCCAGCTAGCTCTGAGAGAAGGACTTATAATCACTAGCATCAGTCTTAAAAACACATAGACAAAGTCATTGCTTGCAGAGGCCAGTGTAACTGTAGATACCTTAGACTTACAGTTTGGTTGTCACTGTACTTCAGAAAGGATGGAGTTAGACAGGAGGGCGAACACTGGTCCAGTTTCACATAATAAACACTTGTCACTGGCGTGAGTGGAGCGATAGCCTGGAGGAACTTCTTGTTTCCCCAGAGAAGAGCTGCTGGGTTGCCCAGACCTGTAAGCGAGCAGGTCAGTAGTGCAGAGACCCAGTARCCTCGTGCTCGTCGCTGTGTGACAGTGAACTGAATCACAAGTTCCTCTGGGTAGGATTTAGAGAGAAAAGTGGACTGGGTTGTTAATCATGAGAAGGCAAACTGTCAAAGTTAGGCTTTTATGAGAAGGAGAGATTGTGAAAGCACCTTTTTTAATGGACCCTCTGTTAATTTGTAAGCAATTACTAAACATGGGTAAAAGAATCAAAATATAAAAAGGGAGAAAGGGGGAGAAGAAAGAATTAGGTTCCAGGAACAGAGGTGACTGAGTTTGGAGCCTGTCTGCGTGGTAAAAAGGAAGCTCTTGATTCAGTTACATACAATACAGAGACTTTTCACAGCTGTTGTCAGTCTAAGAAGAAAATGTACTCCATAAGCAAATGATAAGCTAACAGTTTCTATGGAAATGACTTAAAGGTAGTTGCCTTTTTAGTAGAAAGAGTTCACAAGACTGTGTCCTTCAAAGCAGAGAAGAAAGTGAGAATGTCACTTACTCATCAGTCCAGGTCAAAGCTCTGACAGAAATTTCTGAGCAAGCTGCAGGTCAAGACACTAGTGCCCCYGTATGTGCCTTTTATTATTACTGTGGATTAGTCATTTTATCAGAACGTGCACTTGCATCTTTAATCTCTCAGAGGCAGAGGGAAGAGGCAACACACTGGCAAATGACATTTCATGTACATAGTGATGTATGTGGAGAAAAATTTGTATGGTGACAGATTGTGAACCCATTTCCACTCAGGAGGAGGTGCTGGGTTATCTTAAATCTGTAGAAACATTAACTTAATATTTAGCAGCACTTAGAAAAAAAATGAGTGGTAGTAATTATTAAAGGAAATTTTTGAACTTAGATTATAATCGAAGGAATAACGGGTGGAAAAGTGTTGTATAGAAGTATGTATACATCTGGTTCTCTTTCATCTGTCTCAGTCTTCCTTTTACCCTGCATAAAGAGATCCAAAATGGTTAAATAGAAGAGGAAAAAGTGCACAGAAGGCAAGGCCAGCACTGTATCCAGTGTAAGGTCTMTTTCTMTCAGAGATACAGAATGACTTTCATACAAAGACTGCYTGGGGAGGAGTCCAGGACTCCTTAGTCTGGGAGGATGACTGAAGAGTGAGRTGATGGCTGCCTATCAAAATCCTGAATGTGACGAAGATGTAAAGTAAGGAACAGTTTTGTTTCTTTCTGTTACGAGAAGTAGGAGGGAGAGAAAGAGTGGCTGGTTCAAAACATTTCTTTTATCTATTACGTGTAGCATTTCTTTCTTGTGTAGGTTTTGATCCTCAGGGTTTGCAGGATTCACAGCACCTAGAGAAATTAACGGAGGGGGTGGARCTTATCTGTCTCTGTTAGAGTGCAGCAGAGCTGCTTGAATATGCACACCTTTATGCTACATTAAAACACTTTTGCTGTTGTAGCTGGTTTTATATTTCATGTAAAACCAATATTTTTAAAATTGTTATTCATTTAAAGTATCTTTGCTTCCTTTCAGACTTTGTGGTGGTGGACTCTAAGATGTGTGAATATTCACCAGCAGTTGTTAGAAGAGCGATCACCTGAGCTATTTACTCTTGCCCAGACCTGTATAAAACAAGGTATGTTTCTAATTACTTAGTTTGTGAGTCTGCAGCACCTCTTGTTTAGTGCTCTGTGAGGGAGGGTGTTTTTAAGCAATGTGAAGCTTATCAGGTCCTTATGTAACTAGGTASAAAAGGACTAGAAGAGAGAAAGAGCAGAAGAAGAATTCATTTGAATTGAGATGGATGTGTATGACACCTGCGAGATGAAGCCAGGAATATCTGATCGCAGGCAAAGATTCCCCTGCCATGCATATAGCACAGGTTACCTTGTGATAAATTAACTGAAGGCATTTTGTGTAGTTTTCCTTTCTGATTTCACTGATATTATTTAGGTTTGAAAGGGGAATGTCACTGCTCTCCATCTTTGAGGGAGATAAACTTTTTTCCTGTTTCATCTCCATCTAAATTTTGAYGCTGGTTACCTCTAAGTTCTGTGTTGAGGAGAATAGATAGCATTAAGTTATAAAATATTGACATTCATGAAAGTACAATKTGGAACGTTAATGGAATATTTGGCATTTTACTTGGGATTTTTCTTTTGAGAGGAACCACTGATACAGCTGAAAAGAAGACAGCTTTTATGCATATTGGTACCTCATCAGTTAATTTACTAGCTGAAGATTTTTCTTCAGTTTCATAAGCYGGAAGTTTTGAACCAGGTGTTTTTATGAAACTTTGCGTTTAGAAATGATTTCTGTTTGTGTTCTGCATGACACATAAAAGGCCACTTTAAATGCTCTTCTGCAATTCCACCATCGTAAAGGAGCTCTTTTGATTTGAATTATATACGGGTTCAAGCCATGCAAATGATTTCCGAAACAGAAATAGTTTTTTTTTTTTCTTGGAAAAACTTCTGATTGGGCAATGAAGACACTATTACTGCAGTAATGAATCTGTGGAGAGGATTTCATTGGAAATTTCTAAGCAATTGTGGGTTTTAGTTGTCATAACCTCAGTGAATGTTTAAAAAGCTGATTAATCAAAAAAAGATTGATACTCTTCTCTGACTTGTCACTGTAAACATGTATGGTTTTGGCATATGTTTCTAATAGTTTTATATTCAGGTCATTGAAACTTGTTAGCTACTGAAAATCAGGAAGTAATGTATGCTTGTGACTTTTTTCCTTGAAATTGAATCAATATTACTTAGTCGAAGTTGCCTTATTGTGATATTTTCACTTGTGTGTCTGCATGTTCAATGCCTCATAGGCTTAACTGCATTGACAACAGCCCCTTAGATCAGTTTGAGGAACTAAATGCTAAGGAATCAATACAAATGTATATGTGTGTTTTAGTATAAAACTGAGGCAGGTTTTTGTTTGCAGCATCATAAGAAGTTAATGTGTCTGCAAAATTGACATTTTGGAAACTATCAGAGTAACATTATGTGGAGTTTTGAAAGCTCACAATATGACAGACATACAAAACCATTTACAAAATTATTTATCAGAAATCTTTCTTAGAAAAAAAGAGTTAAATAGCTTTTGCTAGAGCTTCAGTTGCTTTATAGTCCTGTGTGAATCATTCTCTTAAAATGTCTTTAAGTATGGACAAAAATATTAAACGTGTCAGGTGCTTTGCAGACAGTGTATGCTACCTAGATGTSATGTTAGTGCTCAACTAACTTTTCTCAGTTTTGAAATAACGTGTTTGAGAGTTCACAAGATGTATCCATGTAAATGAGGGGCAAGGGGAACCTCCTTGCTTACGAGGTTTAATAAAATATGTTCAATTTAGAGAGGAGTGGCAATCTCTAAATTTAATGTTAGGGTCTTTTTAAAAATTCATGGCAATTTTTTTTCTTCATATARTAAGGCTTTTTACTAGTCTGGATAAAGCATTTTTGCTCTTTAATAGCACAGTTTTTTTAATATTGAGCCATCTTTCTAGGCAGGTGCTATAAACTTAAGATTATATTATATAAACCTTTTCTAACTAATAAATAAAAAGCTTAAAGGGGGGTGGGGCAAGCTTCTTTAAAAATAATAAACACAAACTGCTTAATTTAATTAGAAAATATCAAATCGCTTAGAAAAGACTTTGGGCTGCTGTAGCGAGATATTTTTCTTGTTGAGATAAGGTGTTCCTCATGACTCAGCAAGCCAGTAATTGTTAAAAATGAAACTACTCCTACATCCCATTTCATTGCTCAATTCGCAAGCCAATTTCTCTCATTTTAAGTCTTCTAATCAAAGAGGAATTTTTTACCTCTGCTCACTGTTTKCTAAGTTCCTCCGTTCTTTAGTAGGTCTTAGATAATTAGTGTTGTTTATTTCTGGCAAGACTCAGCTTGATAGGAAAACGCAAGAGAAAATTAATGTGATATTTCTTTCTTTGTGATTATCCTAGTAATATTTCTTATTTACAGAATTTCAAATGTAGCATATTTTATACACTGTTTATTTTTAGATGGGTAGAGGATYATAGAGCAACAGATCTGCTTTAAATGTAACAACATTGGATTCATGTTTGTAAGTTGGTATGTTTTGAATATTTACCTAGAGTGTTTCTAACTTCTTTTTTGTTTAATTTATAGTGACAGAAGCAGAAAATTTGTTCACAGGTGCAGAAAGCTGGCATTTACAAGTTCAGTTCAATCTTGAATGTGCCTACACATTTCTGTATTACTACGAGTATAAAAAAGCGAAGCAATGTTTCAGTACAGCAAAAGACACAACCAAACTGCAGATCAATCTGACAGGTAAGTTTTGCTTGCAAGGCTTACTGAAGGCCTACTGAAAAGGTTGAATAGGACTACTTTACTCTCTGCTTTAGTTTTTACATATCTAAGAATATAATTTGAAAATCCATTTCTCTCAACAATTCCTACTTATTTGTTTTTTCTGAATTAACATTGCTTGGAAAATAAATATTCCATGTAGTAACAATGTCACACTGCAAGTGCGCAGATAGCATCTAATTCAAAGGAATATGACTATGATCCTTCCTTGTCATATTTTAGTAAATTACTAAATTGTAGTTCTAGTTAGCTCAGTCTGGTCACGATCTGTAGTCATGAGTAAATTTTTTTCCTTCTGAGACAATTGCAAGAAAGTCTGTGATGATTTGGTGCCACTTTTACCTTTTGAGATGCTACTCCAAATCTATTCCATGTGAATGGCATTTAAAAGGCACATTCAGGACTGCTGTTACCACAAGATTTAAGTGAGAAGTCAATTTTCTAACCAACCGATGTATCAAGGATTCAGTTACTATGGAGACTTCATAATTATATTTTCAGACATAAGAGAGAACTAATTTGGAGTCAGATCAGATTCCTGCTCTTGCAATTGCTATTGAAATTATACATAAAGATGTGGGGTGGTTATGGCTTAGTTTCCAGCATGACCCTGCCTTTTTTTTTTCTCCCTACTCCAGTCTCAGAAATGTAAAAACATTTTGTCAAGTTTTCTTTATGTTCTTGTTAGCAAGTTAGGACTGCAGATATGTTAACTGAACTTCTAACTTCAGGACTGAAATTATAGCCTCCTTACTAATTACACCCCCCTTATCTCATAGGGCTACGCAGTCCTACCTATTTAGATTGGAGCTGCAGCTGTCCCTTCGTATAACATCGGTTTGTTTAATACTTAAATAAAAATGTAGAAGACTGATGCTTCATACTCATTCCTTCAAAAATTAACAATTTCCACAGATTTGAGTGAATTCCATGCTTTTCAATTGATCCTACTCATCTTTCATGCTTTGGCAGAATAAGACAGTACTCTCTGCCGATAGGGGTGAGATATTGAAGATTGTATGTTTCAGAATTTCCTTTGAGAATTAAGCAACTTGTAACCAAAAATTCACTGAAGTTTTGAATGTCTGAAAAAGGCATTTTTAAACCAGTGCAGTAGCTGCTTTGTGCTTTTTTGAATTAAGCTGATGTTAAACTTGTGACATGTACTACAAAATTGGTATTGTAAGTTGCTTTTGTTTTTTAAATAGTATTTAAAGTATTTATAGTATTTATTAAAGTGCTTCTACTGATACTTAAACTGGAAAAAAAATCAAGAACAAGTAAGATCAAAGAGGCAGGTGATTGTTAACTGTTGTTCGTTGTTTTTACAGCTCTGTTGTCTTTTCTTTAAAAGAGACTTACAGATTTCTAATGMATAGCTCTAACCTAGGGGGGAAAAAAAAGCTGTTTTTCACTAGAAAAAAATGAAGTTGGATGCCATGGAAGGGTTTGGGGTTTTGGTTACTCTATCAAGAAGTTATGCTGGTCCCAGAGAGAGACCCTGGTAATGTGGTCTCCTAGAAAAATGCTGTTGTGAACTCCTGCAATTTYTGTGATTTATCTCCATAAATCTATTAGAATGGTTAGGAATGCTGTCTAACCTGAAGGCRAAATGAACATTTGGGAATTGTTGGCATTCAAGACAAAATACGTATGTCAAATGAGTTTGGCTAAGTGGAATATTGCATCATAAAGAAAGACTTTGTTTTAATGTAAAACCTCAGCCTCCCACAAAGATATTTTTAAGGCTTTTGGAAGATATCCCTTTTTAGGGGAGGATATTTGTTCTTTAATGATCATATTCTGCTAGTAAGAGGTTTTGCTAAGTGGTAGAATTGAATATAATTTTTAAGATAATTCAGGAATGTGTCATTAAATAGTACTTGAAGGTTTGAGTACTAAGCTTGCTGCTGTTTTGATTTGTGCTCAATCAAATGAGCGCAAATTTGATTTTGTAGATCTGCATGTAGATCTGCATATTATTTCTGTATATTTTTCAGTGAGTCACAAACATGGGTAGCTCTACAGAAGAATTTCAAGTAAAATAAACGATTGTGCTCCTTTTTACATACAAACTTTCTGAAATGAAGATGGTAATCTGAAATAAATTAAGACAAACAGGTCTCRAGGATAATAATGCTAACTGAGATCCTCAAAGTGTCAGTTTTTTGTTCATGTCCAGGAAGGCCTGGGGACTCTCAATATGGGAGAGAAAGTCTCTGCTGATAATRCTGTCTGTTTCTCTTGTGAAAACTGGTGGTGATGTAAAGCAAATTTCTTTTCAGCCTTGAATATGCATGCTTTTGTGTGTGTTACTGTAGTTCACATAACATAATACAAAAATATTTTATCTTGTAATCAGCTGAAGAAAAATGAGGAAAGTCTCAGGCATAAACATAGGGCAGCTTCTGGAAGATAATATGTAATGCTAATAGTTYGTTGGCACTAGATAGGCTTTGTAAATGTTTTATTCAGCTGTTGAGCAGTAAGGCATAATAGGATCTGAATTACAGTGTAATGACTTAATTCTCCATTTTAATAAAACCCAAGTGCTACCGTGCATGATTGGTATGAATCCTTACWCAGTACTCTGCTCTCTTTATTGACTGTCTTGTAATTAAGATATTTCAAAAGCCTCTTTCACTTCATAAGCTCTTAAAGCAGGACTCATTAAAAGTGATGGTGGCAGAAGAAAAATTGGTGTAGTTGCTGTTTTTCCTACTGCCCTCTTCCACCTACAGGGAGAAAGGGAGATGGGAATGAGTGCCTGATACTTCCCTGTCTGTGTCGGGTGACTCTTACTGGCAGTAGCCTCATCCTCTGGCCCTTATTTCTTAGCACATGAGCAGTTATTCATCTCTGCTTCAGAGTTTTTATGCTCCACAAATTTTTAAAGCAATAATGAAGTTGAAACCTGTTCGTATGAGTTTCATCTGGCTCTGCAAAACTAACAGTGGGTCAATATTCATTCTTTTCTCCATACTTAAGCCTTCACAGCTCTCGTTACCTGAGCGTTGTATAATAGTAAGCAAGGAGATCCGCAGCTGTTATGGAGCAGTTGTTAATTTATTTTTTCTGTAGTTAAGATTCTGTGTGTTTTATGTTGCTGTTCTGAAATTGCCCTTTGATTTTTCTTTTTGACTGCAGCTTGGAAAGAGGCTGCTAGCAGAGGAAGCACAGCTATGTTTTCCTTTTCAATTTGGGGTAAATGTCCTCCTGATGAATTGCCATGCTAAAAGTTAATAAAAGTTGTCTGAGTGTCTAATAAAGAACTGAAGAAACAAAATGATGATGACTTTTGCATTGTGTATTCTGAGCATTGATTAATGCAGCAGACTGTGTGTGTTGGGTTGTTGCTTCACTCTCCCATGGCTGTTTCACAGGATCTTATATGCTCGATTATGGCAGTGGCATTTCTGTGACCCCTAAAGTTTTGAAATATTTAAAATGATGGCCTGTAGCTGTAAAATATAATTTAGAAAATATGTACTTTAGAAAATGTCATCTCCATTAAAACTAGTTATGTGAACTACAGTAATGCTGAGCAAAGAATTTTTCCGAAGATAAATCTGTACTGTCTATCTAGTTAGTGTAACAAAATYCAGATAAAAGGGGTAGAAAAAATATGGAAATAATAGAAAACTAAAAAATTTTCCTCTCATTTTTCTTCAGTCTGTCCTCCCTGCCTACTCTCTAACCATTCATTTATTTCTTGTTGCTACCAACTGATGTACCTGTAGAAGTTAATGTGACTTTTGAGTATATTTTCATCCTGACCATATTTTCTGAATATTCTACCCATCTATAACTTCCATAGAGGCAGTCAGATCTTCAAATGCCCGGAGATTTAACTTGAAAAGCTAATCCTTTTTTAAAATGTTGATGCCCATTTTAAGATTTCATATGGTTTAATTGTTTCTATTTGAGAACTTTGTCCATTTTAAGGTATTATGGGATCTTCACTTGCTTATATGTTTCTGTGCTATGAATTTCTTTTAGAAAGCAAGTTGAACAACTGTTTTCAATGACTTACTGGTTAAAAATCAGAAATTTGGTGATTATGGGTTTTCAAGAGACAATATGTAAGGTCATGGAGAACTTGTTTAACTCCAGGGAGGAAAGGGAGGAAACATTCCATTAGAAGGAGATGAAGCAAAGTTAAGTCACTCCTGAATCTAACAGGTTAATTCAGTGTTTTTCTTTTGCATTTTATAAACAGTTCTGGTATATGGTAGAATTATTATTTTATAGCCAGTATTTATTTTGTAGTCAGTAATTTCTATCAACTCTCTGTAGGTGCTTTGGGGAAAAGAACACGGTTTCAGGAAAARTACGTTGCACAGCTTGTACTGGATGTCCAGAGGACAGATGAATCCCTTCCTCACAGTGAACTAAGTCCAGCACCTACTCCTCTAAAAAACTTAACAATGGTATGTATCTGAGAAGAATTGTTTTTTAAATTCTTAAAATCCATTTGGGTTTTTTAATTACTTTAATGAAAACATTTCAAATCCTTTCTTGGTGTTTGCAAGGGGGAAGTGAGAGACCTAGAAGCTCATGCATAATTTCTGAAAGTTTTTGAATAAAGTAGGCAGTCCTTAGACTAATAGTAAAGGGCACCCATTTTGCTGTCTGCAAGATGTATGTGGCTACTCACCTAGGAGCATGCTTGCAAGGGTGAGCTTTCAAAGTCTGTTTATTTCTACTAAGAATCAGTGAACTGGGAAAGGAGATGAGAGCCTTTTTTCTTCTAGATAGCCTGCAAGGCATCACATGAGTYTGCAGACTCCTCAAGACTGACAGACAGGTGTAGGAACAGAGCAGGAAACTGGCCTAATGCTATAGGCATGGAAATTATCACTCTGCCCTGCTAATCCGAAGGGTGTGCCTGAAAGCTTCCATTATGAATGGACTAATAACCACTGAACCCCTTTGGGAAGACATTCTCTTTGCAAGGGTATTTTCTTGTTAGTATTTGGATTTTTTTTGACTTGCTGAATAAGTTGAAGAGAAAATAGTACCATATGGTCCAAAATTCAATCTTTAGGTGGGACAGACTTTACAAAAAGCTTTTGACTAGATAGACTTTCAGGTGGAAGAGGCATCTTATGCATAATAGTTTGATTTCTCTCTAATTTTTTCTAGTTTTAACGTGTAAATATTTTAGGAAACTATTGTAGCTTTGATTTGCAGCTGTGATTAGGGGGGAAAAAAATATATGTGTGTGTGTATAAAAAGCTACTTAAGGATAGTAATAGCTCAAGAGAAGTCACATGATGGATATGTCAGACTTGGTTATAGATTTGAAGTGCTACCTACCCCAGTAAAAATGATATGATAGAATGTTCTTAGTGGACTTTTTATATCCCGTGTATGTATATGTATAGATATATATATCTATATCTAGATATATATATAGTTTGCATGTTTTGATTTCCTGAAGGAAATATTGTATACTTTTCTCTAGTTGTTGGAAGGTTATGAAAAATTACTTTCAATTTGGTATTTTTATGTAAACAATTTGGTGTTGTAAACCTTTCTGCAGACAAGTCTGTATTTTTYCATATTTTAAGTTATCAAAATTTCTCTGCAACTATTTCTGTCACTTTGGCCATTCTATTCTAAAGCAKTTTTTCCATTCTCTAACAGAATTGTGATTTAGATGATGATACAGTGCTAAATGAGATAAAATTAGCAGATGCTGATCAGTACCAGCTGCCTGATTTGTGTGCAGAAGAGCTTGCAGTAATCCTTGGAATTTGGTAAGTTAAGTTACTAGGAAATTAGTTGAAGCTTTCCAATAAAAAATAGCACRCTGACAAGTTGAACTTTTTCTTCTTTCCTTCCCTATTGTATAGTTGGACTGACTCTTAAGCTAAGAAATTTTCATTATGCATGGATTCAATTTTCRATTTTCTCAGAATGAAAAATGAATGTCTGGTTTGGATTTTCAGCTATGTTTCATTAATATCATTCTTTTATCCTGGAAAAGCTTCTTGTCATATGTCTCTGTTTAATCATCTTTCAAGTGTCAAATGTTTAGTTATCATGTAATGATGGTATTTGGTTAAAGTCAGAACCTACAATGTCAGCCTTGTATAAGGATCAACCTAATGTCTCAAAAAAACAAAAACAAAACAAAACAAAACAAAAAAAAACCCACCACCCTCCGCTGCTGAGTTCAACCATGGCTTTTGCTAGTTAAAGCAGTAGCACAAAGTTCCCATAGTTTTGCACCTAAGTTGATTTTTCTTCATTTTCAAAACTTTTATGCTACGTGGATTTTGGAAAGGACACAAAGCAGCAAAATAGAACTTGAGGTTTTGGAATTATAAGCCAGTTTCCAATTAATCTATAGTTTACTATTACAAAATATCTCTTTTTCCACTAGTTCTTTTAGCTAATTCCAATTGTCATACAATTTTTGTGTGTGATTCCTTCAAAAGTAGGAAGAGTAGTGGTGAAGTAAGAATAGTTACCTCTATTAGAGTATCCATCATTTGTAATTCTCAAAGCGCTTTGCTGATCCATAAGTTGTAAATTGATGGGGAAAGCACGAAATGATGTGCAAGTACTGATGAACGTTCTTACACAAGCCAGAAGGTGGCCAGGAGCAGAACAAAAAGCTTTCTAGCTCCTCAGTCCCAGACCTTCTCTGTAAAGGTACACGAATAGGCATGTGCCTGTTAGACTTRTCCTTGTGATAGGGTGGCAGCAGTTGCAGTTCTACTTCAGTGTTTAAAGTGTGTTGTCACTGAATGGACCCGTGAGAGAACTTGGGGATGTAGGTTAACAACAGAATTTGGCAGTAATTCTTTTGCTGTGTGTGTTTTGTTTTGGGGTTTTTGTTTGTTTTGCCTGCCTTGCAGTGCAATTATGAAATTTCTTTCCCCCAACCCTATTTGCAAAACCTTTCAGYTCTTTGTCTCCTTGTGCAGGGAGAGGCACTAGTGGAAAGTGGTCTCCTTTCACGTGCCCATTTTGCAGACTGCAGTTTCTGAACGTCCGGACACTTAGTTTTATAAAATTCATTAATTTTATTAATATTGGTTTTAAACTGAATTTATTGAATTTAAATAGAATGTGTTGAATTAATACTGGTTTTAGAGCTGAATGTGAAACTAGACATCTGTGGCCTCAGCTGTGCCCTTGAACGGTTCAGCCCACCCACTGCAGGCGAGAAGGCAGGAGCAGAGCATGTACTGCGGCTTTGTGTTTCCAAAGACTTAATTTGAATTGTTTTCAAGGCCACATCTAGATCCAGTTAGAGGACAAAGGGAGTGTGGTTGACATTCATTCTTGGCTCAGTCATTTCTAGTCGCCCTGTCCCAAAATTTCTCTCACTTCCTGACAAGCATTTTGCATGTACTTTCTTTTTAAACAATATTGTGCCTTTGCCCTACACCCTTTCCAAGGAAGTTTTAACTTGCATGCTAGTGTTTCTCAGTATTCTGTCAAAAGAGATTTGTATTTCACATTTGCTGGCTGCCCAGTAGGTTTCCTGACCACAGTGTGTCACTTTGAAGCTATCTCTGTCATGCTGTGTATAATGGGCTAGAAACCATCCTGGCTGTTGGCTGTGTGTGTGTGTGTGTCTATATTATGATTCAATGGCAGGTAGGTTAGGCAATGCTCGAGACAATAAACTTATTTAAGAAGGACGGGGGCGGGGCAGGAAACAAATATTTTCAATGTTTCTTCCCCATAGGAGTGGTGAATGCCATTCAGTAGGTAGAATAACGTTAAGCAATTGAAACGATTTCAGTCATAGATGAAGCCAAAACTTGATATTCAACTATGTTCCATAATTGTTAGTAGAATCTTAAGCTTTGAGAAATCTTCTTGTGTGGAGACTTAATCAGAAGGACTGTATCYTATTTGGTATTCAGACTTAGCTTGCCAGCCCTTGGTATGTATATCACCTATTAGCATGTTAACTTTCAAGAAATTTGTAGTTAAAGCATTTGGTGATAGTATTTAAATGAGACACTTCTCAAACTTTGGCAGTAGCAAAGTATTGAAAGAATATGAAAATGGTAGTTACTGAAAAGGCCTTTATGGCCTGAGATGCTTCAGAATTACCTGATTACACCAGTGTTTCCTGCTGTGAAAAGTTTCCTTTTGGATAGATTACAATCATTAGCTGGCCAAATAAAATGTTGTTATGCTATCATCACAAATATTTTCTTCTCTAATACTACTTTAAGAGCTTATAAAAAATATCTTTCAAAGTATTAAAATGTCTCATACCATTGTTCACACCAGCAAAAACCCAAGCAACATCTTATGCAGTAAGTTTAAGCTGTCTTGTAACTGTGTATACTCCCAAATTGATTTTGTTTTTTTTCTAGGCTTCTGTTACATAGATGTAAGGAAAGAACAACTTTATGAGCTATTTATATGGAAATGCAGCATTTTAAATGGTACTTAGCCAATTCTGTGACACCTGTTCTATCTGCCTCTATTGCAAAACTGTTTTAGATATACTGAACTCTTGCTTGAATTACTGTCCTAATTGAAGCTTGATTAGTTAGTAAGATGCCCATCTACAGTCTCATTCGCCTTGAGGCACAACTAGTTTCTTGATACTTGCTTTTTCACTTTTCACCTTATGTTTTGTGTCATCTGAGCCTTGTCTTACCACTAAATGGAAGAACGTAGTTTCAAGTGTTTGGCCTTCACTTCTTAGAATCGTTTCTCTTCCAAATACTGAACAGTCTGAGGAACTGGATCTAAAGGAAAAGAATAATTGCRTTTTATAGTAAGAAATAAAACAGAGTGAAAAAGATGTCTGTCTAGTCTAGTGAGACATCTATTCCACTTTCCAAGGTCTGAATAGGGTCTMTTTCTTTTCTAGGAAGAAAGCCTCTTGAGAATATCTTATTGCAACAGTCTTGTAGCATAAAGGGAATCTTAAAAGAAATTCCTAGAAGTGCAGAGGCATCATCTGATTCATCATCATCATCATCTCTTCTCAGTTATTTTATATGAGAGTGACTAAACATGATGTCTTTTTTAATACAATAGTTAAGCTGTTAGGTCAAAAATTATATAAAGCCTAGAACCAAACTTTCAGAGACTGATGGAAAAAGATGTTTAAGTCCTGATAAATAACCATAACACATAGTCAACAAGAATAGGTCAGTATATGAATTAATGTTTATGGTAAACAATTATAACAGTATTATATAGATAATATAACATATGTATATTATAAACAATAAACAATTATAGATACCAAAATGCTATGAGCAATTTTCTCTCATTACTCAGAAGCAACAGAACTTATGTTGCTCTTAGAATGTCCTCAGCAGCTGATGTCTCCAGCTGATAAGGAAAGTGACAGGAAACTACTTTTATTATAGAATAATAAACTTTGTAATAATATTACTGAGTTCACAAAATAAACTGTAGAAGTATTTTTGAAACAGCTGCATCAACACTAAATAGCCTTAGGATTGAAGGATTTTTAATCAAAATTACTGTGTATGAGCTGTATCAATTGAGCAACTAAATTAAAAATCTCAGTACACATTTTGGCAAACATAATGGATAAATGAGATATGAAGACCKTGAGCCACCTTAATCTTAGATGGTTGTCTCTAGTCAGTGGGGAGATGGGCACCTGCAGAGCATGATTCATTCCACTTCAGACATGCACTTYAGAATGGATCAACTCACTCTCTGCATATACTCATCTTTTCCCAGACTGTGAATGAAACCTAGATGGTTACTGAAGTTAAATGCCTATATTTTACATCTTTTGAAGTTGTGAGGTGTGCTGATTGTGTGGTGTGCTGATTGAGATATGTCATTGCTGCCTTTGTGCATGCCTTACAGTAAGGTCACACATGCCGTGTAGCTCGTATCAGAAGTACAAGGCAAAAGCTGGTAAGCAACTGTGTTTTGTTTTCTATTATCTCCCTTTATTCCCCTAGGCAAGATTATTTTATTTCCTTCATGTATGTAATGCTCCTGTATCAGGAACAGGAAATGAGACATATGGTTGCATTTCAKTTGCTTTTTATAATAAGCAGGTGATTTCTATGAGGTAACTGCTGCCCAAGCAGTGTGAAGTTGGCTGAAGTTCTTCACAATAATGAACCTGTATGCATCAGTGAGCTCCTTTATTGCTAATAATTAGAAAGTATTCCTTCTTCCAAGCTGTTGAGGTGGAAGAGGTTATGCAAAATTAACTGGATGGCCAAAGCTTATGCTTTATCTTGTTTCTGGGCTCCCCTGTAGAAGGGAGACATGGAGCCACTGGAATGAGTCCAATCCAGTGGAGAGCTACTAAAGATAATAAAGCCTCTCTCAGATGAGGAGAGGCAGAGACCTGGGAGTGCTCAGCCTAGGGAAGATGAGACTTGACTGTGTTAAGGAGCAGAATCTTACCAATGTATATAAATATCTGAAGGAAGAATGCAAAGATGACAGGACCAGACTCTTCTTAATAGTTTCCAGTAACAAGACAAGARGCAATGGGCACGAAGTGAGACACAGGCAGGTCAGTGTGAACATGAGGAAAAGCTTTTTTACTGTGAAGGTGGCTGAGTGCTGGTGTAGRTTGCCCAAAGAGGTTGTGGAGTCTCCTTSCTTGCAGCTATTCAAAATCTTTCTGGATACAATCCCGGGTAAAATGCTCCAGGTAACCCTCCGGAGCCGTGGGGGTTGGACYGCATAATGTCCAGAGCWKGCCTGCCAACGCTAACTATTTTGTGATTCTGTAAAAGCTGTGAAATAATTTTAGAGTTTTTAAAGGTGATGATTTTTCTGTTAAATACTTGATGACACTCTGACCCACCTTCACAAACATCTCATATAAGTATAATTTTGTTTGAAGGAACAAACCAATTACAGTGCCAGACCCTATAATGATCTCACCATGGTCAGTTAATGGCTGTCTGAAGTCATTTCTATGAAGTATATGGCTGTATTGAATCCATATAGCTGTGTGAAGAGATTCCACTTGGGAAACTAATTTTCTAGCTCGCTGTTCGAGATGCTTGCCTAAGAAATATTAGTCATTTGAATGTCTTTGCAAAACTTAGAAAATGCTTGTAAAGTGGTCAGGTTGTTGGGTGTGGGCCTTTTTCATTCCCCAGATTACCAAAGCCAGGATATCTGCATAGAAATGGAACAAATGCTTATTCTTTTATGTGGAAAATCTGATCTGTTGTTCTTGATCATCTCTGTTTAAGAGGAAGGTAGTTAAATAGTTAAGCAAAGATCTTTAATTTGTWTAGTCCTCACTTGCAGAGAAGTAATGTGTGAGGAGACATAAGCAAACCAAAACTAGGTTGTCTCCAGACATCTAGCTCAGTTCAGTTTTCTTTCGAACCTCTATAGACATCTCACAACTGGAGCGTCTCTGGCAAATATGCTTGTCTACAAACCTTGTCTGTTGTTCAAAAAATCATCTCCTGTTAGTTTTGGTTTCCCACAGCTTTAGTTACCTCCAGCTCTTCCATAGGAAGACATGAGCTGTTAGTCTCTAAATGCTGCCTTAATTTTGCTAACAATTTTGAGAACCACTGGAGCGTCCCTCCTTGTTTAGTTCTAATCTATTTGGTCATTCCCCTCATAGAAGGCTTTATGTCTTTGATCATTCTTACTGTATCTTTCTGAACCTTTTCCAGTTCTGAATTACTGCTTCTTTTAAAAGAAGTGGCCCAAAACAGCATATACTTTTCGTAGTTGGGAAGATAAAGGCCATATGTGGGGTTTTATATAGGCTTTAAATTTTTAGTAGTATTCTGTTCTCTATTCATTGATCAGTTAATTCCTGACGCTTTGTCTTTCTAAGTGCTGTCTGGCATTGATATTTCCATGCAACTGCTATGTCTGAGAGTTGCTGCTTGAGTAGAAATGGTCACTACTTTTTTTTGTGTAGTTCTTCCTATAGTGCTTGCTTGACCAGATGCACTTTTTTACATTTCTGTTACCTCTTCACCCATCCTGCAATGCCCCGCTCCAGTTSCTCTTATCTCACTCAGCTACCTATGACATTTTACCTGCCATTTATTTTTATATCCTGCATGTAGTTTTCAGCTTTTATAGTCATCCCTCTTAATGTATATACCCTTTGAGATATATATGTGATTATCAATTTGGCTATACTTTTGAATTCCATAAAAACTGTAGTTTAACATTATCCATTTTGTCTCATTCATTGAAATAAATGCCTTCATTTTTGAGCTGCAGGTCGATTACTTCAAAGTACTAAGTTATGTAAGTAGAAAACATGCAATTTAGTCTAATAGACTGAACTTGGAAAACTTACTCAAAAATATGGTCAGTTTTAACTGTTGCAATTTCTGTGGCTTTGTCTTCACTGAATCATTGTGAAGCTTTCAAAGTCRGTGTCTGTGTATTTCTGTCTCTCTTTTCCTGAGACAGGATTCAAGACTGGATAGAAAAACTTAAAAACGTAAATGATGCGGGCTTCCTAGAGTTATGAAAAGATATCTGGATGTAGATCCTACAGTGAGCAGCTCCTAAATTCAACTTTGACTGTAGCCTCTGAAATTCTGTATGCTCTGGAGTAAACTGCCTATCCTTGATATCAGARTAGAGCGCATGAAAGTGAAATATTTATAATGTATTCTGACAAAAGTTGGTATAATTGTTATAAACGCTTAAAAACAAACTATTGTTCCTCCTCTAAATATACAAATTTTGATTTCCATCTGATTCAGTACGAGACATCATTAATTTCACTTTTCCACCTTTCAAGGATTGCATGACAGTACTTAATTATTATCTTAAACCATTATGCCATCCATCTGGATGTTACAGAAATTCAGTGTAGAGACTTAACTTTATCACTGGCTGCAAGCTGTAAAACCTGGACCTATAAGATTCAGAAAGTGATGACAGAAATCTTTATATAAAATAAGTAGGTGAGGGATTAATACTTTCTGCTTGAATCAATGTACTTTAGTTTGCAGAAAGAGAAGTTTCTCTTTGTTTTGTCTCAATGTACCTGTCAATTGGTTTACCTCTGCATTTCAAAGTCTGCTGATAGGTCGTTCAGACATTTTGGTTGCCTCACTTCTGAGGTGACTTTGTTACAATATTGGGATGTTGTTACTACCTATTTGCAGTGGAAAGAAATTTGTTGCTATTTTTCACCTGAAGTCATATGTTTATTAATGACTAATGTTTGATGACATCGACTTCCTCATGTTTTTCATGAGACTGACTATAAATATTTATACTAGCAGCTAGCATTGGGCTTTTCAGAGCCCTCTTCACCCACCCTGCTGCAAGCAGAGTGAACTGTAGCAGGTTGTTCAGAGCCATCTTCAGTCAAGCTTTCCATGGATGGAGATTCTGCCTTGAGGGGCACCCTGTCCTTGTATTCTAGCACCCTTGCAGTAAAGTTTGTTTAAAAGGAAATTTCGATATTTCAGTTTGTGCTCATTGTATCTTATCTTGTCACTTGGTACCACTGAGAAAAGTCAATTGTCTTTACTCCTCCTCATTTCGTATTTCTCTATGTTAAGATCCTAGATAAGGTCCCAGAGCCCTTGTTTCTCCTGACTGAACAATTCCAGATCTCTCAGCTGCTTGTCTGAGAGAAGTTCTGGTTCCTTCATCTCTGTGACCCTTTGCTGGACTCGCTCCAGGGTGCCCATGTCTCTTGTCCTGGGGAATCCAGGAGAGAATATGGCCTTTGAGTGCRGCCTCACTAGTGCTGCATGTTGGGGAGTCAGCACCTCTCCCGACTTGCTTTCAGTGCTCCTTCTCATGCGGCCCAGGATGCCATTGACGGCCTCAGTGGCAAGACTGGCTGCTGGTTCATGTTCCACTTGTCTTCCACCAGCACCCCTAGATCTTTCTCTGTGAAGCTGCTCTCTAGCCCCTAGACTGTGCTTGTGTAAAGGGTTATTCTTCCCATGTCCAGCACTCAGCACTCTTGTCAAAGTTCATGTGGTTCCCCGGTGCTCGTTTCTCTAGCCTGTTGAGGTCCCTCTGAATGGTGGCACAGCTTTCTGGTATATTGGCTGTTCCTTCCAGTTTGGAATGACCTGTGAGCTTTCTGAGTAGTGCTCTATCCTGTGATCTGTGCTGACTACTCCCAGTCACCTTCTGGCTCTTCATGTGCCTGAAAACTTCTTCCTGGAGGATTTGCTTCACCAGTTCCCAGGCCGAACAACCTGTAGTTCCCCAGATCCTCATTGCTCTTCTTGAAGACAAGAGTAATGCTTGCTTTTTTTGACGCCTCAGAATTGTCTTCCATTCACCATGACCCTTTAAGGATAAATGAGATTTGGACAAGCAACTTCTACTCTGTATCTTGTCCATGTGGATAGTAATAGTATTTTATCGAAATCATTGTCTATTATTTCTGCAAAGGTAACTGCAGAGTGTATGTATAGCAGAATTAATAAAGCAGGAAGAGTAAAGTTACCTTAGGGCTAAATATTTTCTCTGAAGTAGAGAACATAAGAACAGCAAGTAAAATAGCTTTTTTAATTGTCTTGTTTTACACATGATAGTGTAAAACAGGTAATATATTTTCTACTTGTGACCTATCAAAACAATTAATACTTTATTAAATAGTTTTTATATATACTTTATTTTTTTGCCTATGAACTGAAAGTTGCTGCAAAGCTGAAACATTTTCTTTACAAAAACTACATAAAAAGCCTAAGAATAAAGTTCTAACTACTGCTGCTCTGTAGTATAATTGTAGAGCACTTGAATTGTAACCTATTTGCATTTTGTGCTGCTTGAAGATATTTCTGCCTGTTTTGTTTCATGTCTATTTTGTTTTTGYTTTTTTTGTGCCCCKTGTTAGTGGTAAGGTCGATTAGTGAGAGGAGTGAGATTCCCCTTCAGTGCTTTTTGAGCGCTAGGGCTTTTTTTGTAGAATCTGTCTTCAATTAGTCATAGAATCTTAACTGAAAACATGTTTCACTTAAATCAAGGAGTGGGYCTAAAGCTGTTTAGGATACCTGGAGTTGTTACAAGCTTAAACCAAGTAAGACATTTCAATTTAGAATGGACTGGGAAGGACGCAGCTAAATATTCTGGTCTCTTGAAATGGTCGTTTATCTGTAACCGCTCCAGGGTCTAGACCTTCTTCAGCACATATGGTAACAGTAACACTTTTCCAGAACATCCTTTAGATTTCTGCAAGTTTGATAAACATTCTACCTAGTATTCTGAAGGTTAATATTTCGTATTCATTTTTCCTTTTCTTTCACAGTATAGACTTCCAAAAGAACAATCCAATACATAAATTAACTGAAGAGGAACTTCTGGCTTTTACATCAGTAAGTAACTTATCTGAACTTYTTACTGAATATATTTGCAATTACTATCTGAGTTAAGTACCAAGCAATAGCCTCTCCATGCTAATCATGAAACTATTTATACAGCAAATTTCCTCTAGTAGTCAGGGTTTTTTCCTCATTTCGAGATATTATTCAAGAAAGTTATTCCCTTTTTGAGTCACCCAGGTGTAGGATCAGATTTTTACCTAAAACATGTACTGAACACTTCTGCATTCATGTTATAGGTTTCATATTACAGTTTTTATTAACTATATTAATCATAAACTAATAGTAAAACTTTAATAGCAAACTTTGCATATTGAATTAGTGTTGGAAGTGTTGTTCTAAGAGTATTTTGTAAGTGTAGTTCAAAGGAATTGCAGCATTATTCTATCAGATTTATTCAGTTTAAATGTTAGATGTTCCATGTTTCTTCCCAGTTCAATGGCTAATTTGTCACGAACTCCAAAAAATCTGTAAATTCTAAAAGATTCCTTGAATCTTTTTAATTGGTATTTTCTCTCTCTCTTTTATTTTGGCAATACTAAATGTAGTTTGCCTCTTTATTTGATCTCTTCTGTCTTTGGTCTTGCGGTAGTAGTTTATTGAGGTGAAGAAGGGGATTGCACGATATTAGATTTCAGCTTTGGCTCTACAATTTGAGACTTTTTTCACAGCAGAGGCAACGGCTAAAAGTTCTTCTTTGAGTTGCAGATAGGATCTCAACAAAAATCTCAATGATTTCAGTCTTAGATTCTATCACTGCCATTTGTAGTTATGTAAAAAGATTATGGGCACTAGTTCAGTCCATTTAAAAACAATTTTATCTTTTTATTATGTAGATGAATGTATATTTTTTTAAGTAATGCTCATTTTGGCCCCTGTGCTGGCATAGTAATGTAAGATCTGAATGAGAAAAATTGTGAATTGTGAATACTAAACTTCTTACGCAAATTTTCATTATGGTATTTTAGATCAGCTATAGTCTTGTCCCTACAGCAGTTGTCATAATATTTTCAGACAGATTTTTCCAAATTGTTCTGTTGTTAAGCACAKCTTCTAATATATGGGAAATATTTTGAAACAATTATAGCATAATTTCCACACAAAAATGTTAGTGTTAATGTAGATGTATAAATTTTCCAATTGTKTGTGTATATAAACTTGTTACAGCAAAAAAGACAGGCTTTGTTGTCAATATAATATATATTATAATTGAATCATTGTATAAACTTTTTCCCACTCTAATTTATTTCCAAGCTACTTAGAGTCTTTTTATATTTCCCACTCCATTTTTCACACTAACCACTATTATTTGTATAATTCTTGGGTGGGAAAACAGACATTACACCTGATTCTTCAACTAAGTTGTGCACAGCCTTTGTTCTTTAAATGGAATGACATGATGATCACAAAACACTTTTAAAAAGACTGTCCATAATTCCATCATCGTGTACTTTCCAGAATAATGAAGCTTAGTGGGAATTGCTTCCTTTGACTCCTTAGTTTTGAAATACTTAACTACTCGTGCTTTATAACAGGCGACAAAAAGTCAAGGTAGCATCTGTGCTAGGAAGAAGGATGGTTAGCTTTGCTATCATCTTTTATATGCCATGGCTTGATGTGTCATACTATCCGTCTAAGATGCAAAAGATATGTGTTGGGCTAATCAGTCATAGTTAAGAAAATTAAACTGCATTTTTCTGCCATCTAGTGGCTGATTCCTTAAAAAAAAAAAAAAAAACACAAGAGGGCTCTTAGTTGATGAACTCGTTCCTTAACTTTCTCATTAAGTGCAGTGATAGTGGGGGGCTTATTCTTTCGATTACTTCTCTTTTTGAAGGGGAGATCAGCAGAACCACTGCTAGGAGAAAGCTCTCTCTATAGAAATACATATGTGATAAAGATCACTTATAGAGATGCATATATGCAGATTTTCACATTACTTTGTACTCTGATCAGCAAGAAGGAAGGGTCTGTAGCAATAGGCAGAAACACAGATCTCTGGTAGCGCAGAATTCAGTGTATAGCAGTGATTGAGATACAGTTGGTAGCCAAAAAATCAGAAAATTTAAATATTAGAATAATATTCTTTTCACCTGTTTCTTAACATGATTTTATTGGCTGTGGTGATGACACAGTTCAGACTTGTAACGTCACAGTCCTAAATCTTGCTTGGACATCTGAAAGCGGATCAGACTGCAGCTTGTSTCTTTTCAATATCATCATCTCTTGTGCAGCTTCTGCTTAAGTCTAAAGCTCTAGATGATTATRGAAGAATTTCATGAGGAAATCTTTGAGCTCTTCTGCAGCATAGTTCTGTCTGAAGTGCTGCTGAAGCAGGGAAATTTATTGATATGCTCCCTAGCTGTACTAAGAAAATACGAGTGGCACTACAAATAAATCGCTTAAATATAAGTCACTTAAATATAAGTCATTCTCCCAGCTTTAGTGCTTCCTGATGCAACAGGCAGAACCAGCCTGATATCAGTGTTGCCCCCAAATAATTTCACTCGCATCATTTAAAGTGCTCTGAGTGTGCGTGTGTGAGCAGGCATCTTCTCAGCCTACATGTGGATTCCTAAATCTGCAGGCTGGTTAGATGGTTGTCATGCATTCATCTGATATCTGCTGAAATTTATCTTTCCTGAAGAAAGGAGGGCCTTTCAAGATATCCTGGGGAACTTGAGAAATTGTAAAGCACTTTTAATGGGTCAGTGGCCTATCAGGAGACCCTTTTCATTGGGATATTGCAGAACAAATGCATGTGACCAGCAATCTCTTTAAAGGAGAGGGAACAAAGCTCATGTAGTGTGAGAGGGAAAGGATGATCAAAAGGATTTCAAGTAGACAGCATGGTCTGTTTTGCCTCGTATTTGGTCTAAAGTAGTTTTTAATCTGTTAGGACTCCAACATGTTTAGATCATATATCTAGATACTTATGATTTGTTCATGTATCTAGATTATATATGCATATATGGAAAAATCTCTTGGTAGCTGCATCAGAGACATGGTTGTGCATACAATATTTGATAAACTTTGTTTCAACTTACTATTCCATTAAAACCTCATTTTTAAGTGAGAAAGAGGGACAGTGAAACCCAGTGCTTCTGTTGGAACTACTTTTTTTCTTGCTTGTAATCAAGTGGAGTTTTTTAAAACCCAAGGAGAATCCTGTGTTGTCTAAAGACAGACTTGATTATGCTTCATGCCTTCTGGTTTGCTGGTGTTGAGCTACTAATTCTGTAGGCAACTATTTTTGCTAAGGAATTTCAGAACTGTTGGCCTGTTTTTTCAGAAGTGAGCATTTACTGGARGCAAGAGAAATTGATGGTGTGTGGTGGCTTTGAAACTCGTGACTAAGAATAATAGTGCATRTTTTATTGGGGGTGGATGTGTTTATACATGTATATATTTTTTTTTTCCCTGGCCTTTCATTATAAGAAGGGGTCTGTGGGAAGAGGAAGAGAGGAAAGGGAATACTTTATTTCTCGCCTTTTGTGCTGCGTTTGTGATATTAACGTGGAACTAGTGAGTGATCAAATTGGGGCACATGATATTTCTCCTGTTAAGCCCTCCTGTTAAAATCTCTGCAAAACTAACATGCCCTTTTGGTTTCTAAAGAGAACTTGTTTATATAGCTTAAATGAAAGCAGCGCATTTTTCTCTGCTGAGTAAATGGCTGCAGTTTTCTTTAAGTTTTATAACTAGCAAGAGTACTGAAATGCTCATTAGGAGTGCCATGTGTCTCTACTGTTGTAACTTTTGTGGCTTTATAAAAAGTCTTTCACTTCTTTTGTTGCCCGTTTTGAATAGACTCTGTTGGTTACCAGATTATAACACTGAAGAGACTTTCCTGCTGCAAAGCCCTGCTAGTGCTTGCAGGATTTTTTTTAATGTAGATGAACCAAAGCTATTCTATTCTCCTTTTTCTTTTCTTTTCTTTTCTTCTTCCTTTTTTTCCTTTTATCTTTGGCAGTCTTATTCAGAGGTCTGAATCCTGTTCCAGGAATGCCAGGATGCCGATGGTGGCTGCTAATTTCAGGCCTGCGCACTTTCTGGCCTATCGAGTAGCACTGGAAAATAGCAAAAGAAGTTGCCTCTTTCGGCTGGACCAACAYGTGCAAGGGCCTGACTAGATTTCTTGAATCCTTATTGACCAAATGTCTGTCTTTTCTGTTTACAGCGTGTGATGGGCAGGAAAATCCGCCTCGTGTTAGCAGTTACGTTTGCCGGCGTCGCGTTCCATGTGCTGAGCTGTTTCAGGTTAAGGAAGCAGGCTGCCGTAGTATGTGGGCTGCAGGGGCAGGGGGGGAAGCTCCAGCCCTGGGATTAAGAAAGCATTGCTTTGAAGCTGTTTTATTTTACAGAATATCGGATTTCAGCATGACGGACTCTTMCATCCTTTCCAACCTTGTTCTCCTCAGTGGTCCTGGTTTTTCCCTGAGTCCTTGGGATCCACGGGGCTACTTACACCATGTTTTACAGGAGAATGATGCCTGGTTTATTGTGCCCCTCTCTGACTGAATAGGAAGAAATTTTGGACAGCCTTTCCTTTTTAGAGGARTCTTTCATATAATCTGCAGGGAATTACTCAAGTGACAGATTTTAGTGGTCTCGGGGAAACCACAGTAGTAAGAGAACAAGAAAACCACCTTTAAATATTAATAAATTATTTGCCTGTCTCGGGGTTTGAGAAGCTAAGCAAGCCAATCTGATGACAGTTAGTAACATTTTTTCCCACAGCAGCCTTTCTTCTCCCCCTCCTCCTTCCTCTTTATCTMTCAGCAGCTCACTTATTTTTCTTTGCAGCCTCTCTGACAGCTGGCTGACGTGTTGCAGGCTTCCCTTCCCCCTTTTATTTTATGTKCTTCACTAGTTTTAACTATTTTAATTTACTTGAACAAAGTTTTGGAATTTGTTGCAACAAGATGATGAAATTAAACCGCCCATGTGCAACAAAATGTCATTTGATGTATCATTTTGAAGGAAATGATATC